CCTGGCTGGACTTGGACAGCTGTCCCTCAATCGCGCGCAACCACCGCATCCACCACAGAACACGGACGCCTGAGTAGCGCCTCCCCCGATACACCCAGACGTTCTCTGCCGCGACTGACGCTGCTGCCACTCTCTGCCAGCCACTTCCCTAAAAAGTAAACAAAGCATGCTATAGTAGTGAACTTGGTTTCGCCATATAACCATTTTTGTAGGTGGCCTTTATCTAAATATGGCACTTAAGTGCCAAAAATAGAACACATTTAATTTGTAAAATTTATCTTCCGGGGATATTCCTTTTTCAACGTCAATGGCCACGATTCATTTGAGTCTAGTTTCTGTTGGGGATATTCGTATACTATCCAATTTTCAATGCATGCTATAGCCTTTTACGGACAACTTTCAGTACAAAACTAGAATATGACACCCAAGAAAATTATGAAAGTCTTTTTCTGCTAAGTGCTTGTACAGGATTTGCTCATTTTCGAAGAAGACTCTTTTCAAAAACCAGGCACCTATTTCTTATAGCTCTGGATAGCATAGCAAGAGAGGAAGCGAGTCTGTGCGCAGGGGTGGTGGGGATGGATGGATTCAGGAAGATGATATGATCGTGATATAGTCTCCGTCGAATCTTTACTGTCCTGCTTGTAATAAGCATCTGAAGTAAGATTGCTTTCTTTGTTGTTTATTTTTACGGGTTTATGTGTCTAGGTAGATGGCAGGTACACTACATGTGGAACGATGTGCGCCAGATTGTGTTGGCGTCTGTCTAACACGTGCTTGGATTGAGGTGTTAGTTGCAGTCTTCGAGGTCTGGTCATTTTTGTCCGGTTTAATATGCTTATTTTTAATAGTTATTGGTTTGTTAATGGTGTTTTCCCCATTAACCAGTCAATCCATCCCAGATCTGTGCATCGTTTGCTGATGAGCATATGTTATGCATGGGCCATACTCAGCAGCATATGCATGGATAAAACCAATATTAATGGGCTGAATCGCCTTTGTATTGCATGCAATTTGCAAATATGCATGGATATATATGAATTTGAACAGTGAATGCCTTAGTTTCAGTTGGCAGTGGTGTCAGTTTCCAGGAGTTTTGTAGCACTTGTGGGAAAGGATTTGGGCACTGCTGGTCCTAGTTTTTGGTTGTGTAGTACTCATTAGGTAACCTGAAATAGGATGGTCACTTTTTGTAGCCATGTGTGTGTGTGTGTGTGTGTGTGTGTGTGTGTGTGTGTGTGTGTGTGTGTGTGTGTGTGTGTGTGTGTGTGTGTGTGTGTGTGTGTGTGTGTGTGTGTGTGTGTGTGTGTGTGTGTGTGTGTGTGGTGTGGTGTGTGTGTGTGTGTGTGTGTGTGTGTGTGTGTGTGTGTGTGTGGTGTGTGTGTGTGTGTGTGTGGTGTGTGTGTGTGTGTGTGTGTGTGTGTGTGTGTGTGTGTGTGTGTGTGTGTGTGTGTGTGTGTGTGTGTGTGTGTGTGTGTGTGTGTGTGGTGTGTGTGTGTGTGTGTGGTGTGTGTGTGTGTGTGTGTGTGTGTGTGTGTGTGTGTGTGTGTGGTGTGTGTGTGTGTGTGTGTGTGTGTGTGTGTGGGTGTGTGTGTGTGTGTGTGTGTGTGTGTGTGTGTGTGGTGTGTGTGTGTGTGTGTGTGTGTGTGTGTGTGTGTGTGTGTGTGTGTGTGTGTGTGTGTGTGTGTGTGTGTGTGTGTGTGTGTTGTGTGTGTGTGTGTGTGTGTGTGTGTGTGTGTGTGTGTGTATCAAGTCCGTTGCAAATTTTTTATAGGTTAGTGTGAGGAGCAAAGAGATGCACTGGTAAGGTATTTGTATGACAATCACAAATGGTGGTAATTGTCCTTATTTTTGTATTTACTTGGTAATATACCCTCAAAATTGCTGATGACATGCCTAGTAAGGGAATTTGATCTACTTGATTTTCATAGTTATTTGGTGTAATACATAGCATATATTGACATTTGAGTCCCCCGGGATGATATTTTGCTGAGATATGTTGATTTAAATGTCATGCTTACTTTGCTGTTTACTTGAAAAATCTTATTCAACGACCGGGTAGTCAGACTCGTATGACAAGAACACAATATGGAAGTGCATTTCTATATAAAAATGTTTTTAATAATGTAAACATGCATGCAATAGCAGCATTCAGGTCACTATTTTCTCTATAAATAGTTAAAACTATGACTAAATTGGAGCATAGGTTGCAGTCATGTAATGTGCATTCCTGGTATGATCAAACTGTGTGTGATATTGTCTGTGATATGACAAAATACAGTTAGCATGTCACAGGTTGTTAATGTTACAGATCAAAATGCAGTTAACATATGCCTAAAAACTGAGAGACAACCTGTATCAGATTTGGTGTAATCTACCAGCAGCAAGGTGTGGTCAGATGTCTTCTGCACACCACTGGATTTGATCATGCTCAGGCATTTGGTTAAATGAAATAGGTAAATAAAAAAGAACATTGATATGTAATGCATTGAACTTAACCCATTTGAAAGCATATTTTTTCAAATGCTCCTACACAGGTATTGATTGTCAATCATCTGGGCACTCACTATCAGTCGAAAGTGCATTAGACATGTCATGTGACTGGTTCTTGAAAGCTGCTGAAATATCTGGATTTGTGTTAAAGGCTGGTTAGCAATTCTTGCTGCTCTTAGAATTTCAAACCAGTATGGAGACAGGAAGGTGATATTACGTGATCATGAGTCAGCATGTCATATGATGTGATCCAGTTGGAGGCATTGTGCATCATGTGTCCAGTATAGGGTTTGGTTGCTGAAGGTCAAGGTTGTAGGACTTATTCCTGTGCAATTTGAAATTGGCTCCAAGGCATATTCCTCTCAAGGTAACTGGTAATGTAAGACTTAAGTGTAGTACTGCCTTTTTAAAGTTCCAAGTTGTGTAACCTACAAAATATCTCTTAAAGATGTTTGGATAGAAAAATGGCAAAATCACAACTGCAAATTGCAAAAATACATTAGGAAAATATACAGTTCAAATAAGGAGATAACTTCCTATGCATTTGATGAAGACATTTTGAGAGGGCCAAATCTGCAGGCAATGTCTGTGACATACATTTTCTTCAAGCAGTTCTGAAATCAGTGATAGAGAACCTGAGAGGGCTCAGAACTTCCTGCATAGTGTATTAGTGTGCTGATAGTTATGATATGTGACATAGGTCATGTCAGGACTGGTCCCTAATGTGCTGATAGTTATGATATGTGACATAGGTCATGTCAGGACTGGTCCCTAATGTGCTGATAGTTATGATATGTGACATAGGTCATGTCAGGACTGGTCCCTAATGTGCTGATAGTTATGATATGTGACATAGGTCATGTCAGGACTGGTCCCTAATGCAACTGGGTGTTGGAAGTTAAGGGGATGGGCCTAGGTGTTATCAGTTGATTAGTCTCTGTTATGGGTTGTGTTGGCATGAACTAATAGATCACATATTGGTAAGTGCAGATATTCTAGTTGAGCTGTTTGTGCTGGATGCTTCATGATAAACAGGCATGGACCACTTGGTGCACTGCCAAGTGCCCTTATGCATTCAACACAAGTGGGGTTAAGTCAGACAAGGTGTAACTACTGACAGTAAATGTGTGGAAAGACATCAGTGCACTTAGATAAGTGTTCATTTGCTAAGCTAAGGAGCTTTTTGGGTGATTGTGTGTTCTTAACAGTGTAACTGAATCATACATAATATTCTGTCTATCCCCAATAGCATAATGAGACAGAAAAGAAACTTTCTGCAGGCTTTATCAAGAATATTGAACATGGTGGCCTCACATTTGAGTTGCTAAGTTTTTTTGTCTGTGCACATTATGTGGAAATTGCATGCTTCTGTTCACTGAGCACTGACAATGATTGTCATATTAACAGATATGCTGGTAAATCCAAATGAACATGTGACTTGTGAGGATATTTCAGTGTCACTTAAAAGTTTGAGTTAATTGATGGGCAGATGTTGAAGCTGTTGTTTTCCTAAGGCATATTCAAATGGAATATTTGGAGGCATATCAGAACAGTGAAGTGCATGATATTTCACATGAGTGCTGGGGATATGTTTGCAAAACCATTTTAGTTGGGCATGTGGCAGTTCAACATGTAGTGCTACCACATTCATGTTTTTATATAAGTTTCAAATTTGGGGTTGTGACCGTTTTCTGTCCTTTTGGTCTCTGCCCAGATGCTACTTTTGTGCAATGATGCACAAATGTGCACATTGGGGGAACATGTATATCACAGGACAAGAGATTAATCTGTCTCATTTTGATTGATCTCCAGCTAAAGTCAATAAAATGCAAGTTTTTAATAAAAAAAAGATGTAGGATCACCATCATGTCATTTCCAAGGGTAATGGATTGTTTGCCTTTGAATGGTTTCTAGTCAATAAATGAAATGCCCAATATTGTGTGTCTTGCTGTTACATCTGTATGCATTTATTGGTTCCATGGTTTTTGTTTGGGTGGGAGGGGGGGGGGGGGGGGGGGGGCCTGTTGTGATCATGTTATACATGGATTCCCATCTGCTGGGTGCTGGCCATTGAGCGTCAGCCGGCCGCCCCTCAGGTCCCGCGGTGCCGGCACGCGGCGCCCCTGCCACCGCGTGATGTCGGAGGCGGCGGTGCTGGAGGAGCGCACGGCCGACACCCCCGAGCCGGCCGGCTCTTCGTACGCGCAGGCGTTGCGCGGCCGCCAGCTGCCCGAGGGCACCGACGCCGACGAGCAGTTTCCGGAGCTGGGCCGGCCGCCCACCGACGGCGAGCTCGATGAATCCGGAGAGTGGAAGCAGTCCAAGTCGCGGCGCGCCGACAAACGCCAGCAGGCGCGCGAGCGGCGCGACCAGCGTGTGCGCCGGGAGCGGCGCGAGCGGCCGCCGCGTGCCGCTCCCGGCGCCGGCCCTGCGCCCGGCCCGGCCGGTGACGACGGCGAGCGGGCGCCGGCCGAGTCACAGCAGCAGCAGCAGCAGCAACAGCAGCCGCCCGCGCCGCTGCCGCCGGGAGACTCGGCCGGCTCTGGTGAGGACTCGACGGCCGCCGACGACCCGCGCAAGTTCGTCGACGCGCCACCGCCAAAGCAGAACGCCTGGAGCAAGAAGCAGCTGGACACCCCGGAGGCGGCCGAGCGGCCGCTGCCGACTGAGCCGGGCCTTCCCGTGGAGCCGGCGGCCGCGTGCGCGACTCCGGCGCCACCTGCCGCCGAAAGCCCCCAGTCGGCTGCGCCAGGTCAGTCCAGCTTCGGCCCCGCGCCTCCGTGCTCTTAGCCTGTGCGTACAGTCGTTGTCGCTCCCCACGGCATGACGGAGAAGTTGGTGCAACGATTGCTGGGTTTGTAATGATGTGAGCTGAGCAGATGGTGGAATTGAGTCCCAGTGGGCTTCTTGTGCACAGCGTTCTCAGCAAAAAAGCTGCCATATATGGCATGGGGATATCTCATATTGCTACAGCGGTCAGCTAACAACGTGAAATGCTGCCTTCAAAGTATTATGAGAGGAAATAACAGCTTGGTTACGTTCATCATTTCATAACTACGATTGATGCACAAAAGAAACGAAACATGACATCACTCTCCTTATAGGCCATTACCTGGGCCTGCGGGGATTCCGTGGGATTGCAAGAAACTAAATTCCATTCGTGACGGTAATACGGCCCAAGCTGTCACACGATTTGCACACGAGCGTTTTGGTTGTTGATTGTCCTGAGGCAAGCATTGCGGCTGAAAATGGATGAAATCGTGGATTACCTACCATCATATATTAAAATGATAAAATCAAAGTATATATTAATGGAATGTGGGTGGCATGGCTCCATTGGAGGGCCTGTTTGAGAGGCGTTTTTCGACTGGAAAATCGAAGCCTCCGGAGGGGAATGAGGTAAATCGTCTTCACAGTGTCGTAATCTGATTTGCTTTGGTTAGCAACGTACGTGCATGCGTGTGTGTGCATAATTTCGGCATCAAGGCCGGCACACTCGCTTTTCCCAAGGTGATGCACAAACCAAACTTGGTGGCGGATGAGCTGTTTTCTTGTTTATGTTTGTTTTCTTCTTTAGTTGGCTAGTTGACCGGGTTCGGGCAGGTAGCCGGAGTGGCGATTTTGTGACTGGCTGATAACTGATGACTATTGGAGGGCCCAGAAATGGTACTATGGCTAGGTGCAGGGTAGAAAATGTACTTTCCTTTTTTGCTCGAATCAATCGATTTGAATATATCCCAATGTCCCAAAAACAAAGCCAATCTCCCAAGGTCGTAGCAGGTTTTCCAAAGTCTGTTTCGTGTGAAAGTTGAAAAGGGATTTATACACAGTGCAATAGACAGAGCATTGCTGGCTAACAGAACGTTGCTTCTCGCTGCCCTGCGAAGTTTATGAATCTTGGAAAAAAGGTTGCCATGACTTCTTTCATGACTTCTCCCAAGCACCAAATCCGTTATTTTGTGCTCCGTTTGTTTTTTCTGACCAGTCTGGGGATTTTTCCTCATCACATCTGCCAAATTGTCATGGGGCGTTTGTATTTCCACGTGTCTTTTTTTCGCACGTGATAGGTCATTGGGATTCTTTTGTACACAAAAGTGCAAGTTACGTAATCCATTCATCATGAGGAGTAATCTCTTTTACAGCTTTCCAACGTGTCGGCTAGCTGATCAATCGGCGGTCAGCCGGCAAACCTGATCAGTCAATGGTCAGCCGGCTAGCTTGGTCAATCGGCGGTCAGCCGGCCGGCTAGCCTGATCAATCGGCGTTCAGCCGGCCAGCCGATCAATCAGCGGTCAGCCGGCCAGCCGATCAATCGGCGGTCAGCCGGCCGGCTAGCCTGATCAATCGGCGTTCAGCCGGCCAGCCAATTAATTGGCGGTCAGCCGGCTAGCCGATCAATCAGCGGTCAGCCGGCTAGCCAACCAGTGGGCTAGCCGATCATTCGGCGGTCAGCCGGGTAGCCGATCAATCTTCGGTCAGCCGGCCAGCCGATCAGTGGCGGTCAGCCGGCTAACCTGATGTGTTTTTGAAAGTGCCTTCCGAGCCTTTTGGTGGGTTGTGGCAGAACCCGGATGAACTAATTTGAGACCCTTTTGAAAACGTATTGCGGGGCGGCGACCGTCCATATTGTGGTGCAAAAATACTTATCAGAACGGGGCCATTGCGTCCAAGTGCCGTTTATTATATAGGTTTGAAATGTTCGTGAGACATGCCTCCCCAGAGCCCCCTTCAGGGCTGCCATTGGCTGCTTTTTTCCCAAAGATCATTATATTCGTGTTGAACAGATGGCTAGGAACGGTTACGAAGTTGCAAGGCGACCTCAAGCGCCATGGGAAGTCCATCCAAATAGCCGGAGCCGTATGTGTTGATGGGATGTTCTTGGAGGTTGTTGAAGGCTTAGGGTAAAGGAATATGGTAAAGACTCGGTGATCCAAAAGTATATTACGATCGGCGGTTTGGCAGACGGTGCGGCACACCTTTCAAAGCTGGGGGTGTAGTGCACCATTTCCCGACGTTGATGAGGGTTAGGCTTAAAGCACAGCGACACGTCACAACTCTGTTGGTGTCATTCGGGATCAAGTGACCTCTTGGGAGTTGGCTTCCCTTGCAAGGACAGTCTGGGAAGCGGGCGCCTTTCCTGAGTGCAGCCTTGGGAACTAGTTCCCTGGCGAGTGCAGTCCTGGGAACTGACCCCCGTTCCGAGTGCAGTTGTGGTTCGTATTCCGTATGTAGTATAAAACCAACCGCTCGTTATGGCGTACTGATCGGTACTGGGCCCTCCGCTGGTTACATTCGTAAGAACTTACTCGTATTCCAAGTAAGTGTAAAACTGGCCGCCTTCAGCAGCGCATTCCTCCGTTTTGGCCCTTCCCCTCTCCTTGTCGGTCACAGGCTTGGGAGCTGTCTGGTATTCTAGATGTAGTGTAAGGTGTGCTGCCCTTTGGAGTGCGCTGATCGGTATTGGCCCCTCTGCTGGATATAGTCTGGGAGGCCAGCTGCGTTCCTGAGCATTCAAGGGAACCGACTTTCCTTCCGGGTCGGCAGCGTTCCGCAGAACCAGGGGGGCGCCGAGCGCTCCACGGAGCCCGTCTACAGGGTATTCCCCGGGCGGTGAAGGCCGCCGACAGCTGCCCAGCTGCCCCGCTGCCGGGCGCCGGGCCAAACCCGTCTGGAAGAACGGCTGCCGGCCCCGCTGGAAGGGCAGGCCGTGGCCCCTCGTGCGGCGCGCTGCTCTGACACGAGAACCGGCACGGCCGCGCTGGGACGTTACAGCAGGCGTGTGTCATAAATGAACGGGCGTGAACCCGGCAGGAAGGCATGCCGCAAGTTACACGTTGTGCTTTACCGAACGTTGTCATATGTCCACCTTTCCATTACAGGCAAATGTACGTTCTCTTCAAATGCGTACATGAACCGAGTAACAAAGTCCAGCGAGCAGAAAATTGAAGTGAAGACGTTGGACATACATGCATTATCAGATACAAATTGTGGCGATATCAGTAGTGGCGGTTAAAATTGTCTCACGAAGATAGCCCTTTGTAAGGGCACGCAGGGTCACAGGGTCGCGGGGTCACACTGACGCTTCGGGCTGAGCGCCACGCTGTTCAGGCAGACTTGTCGACTCGCACAGAACATGCGCCACATTCGCCACAGACTGGGATGGTGAGTTTTCGAATATGTTTGTCGGCTCGCTCCACACATTAAAGGGAGTGTTCCGCGCTGGTGCGTGGCTTTGAGCTGAAATAGCCACCTTGAAGATCATTCGGTGCAGTTCACGGCCACGCCCGTCTTAAGACCTGGACCCCTCAAGTTTCAGCGTTCACGCTGGCGAGGATGTGCAGACTATCGGGACAGCTTTTTCAAGGCCACCCAGACATCCATGGCGCCAAAATAACGTCATTCAAATCCTGATATTTCATAAGCCTTGCGCGGCCAAGGCCAAGAACAATATAATTGTGGAGGCGTTCATATCTGGCATTCGTGAGCACCATTTCCAGATATGACGACCGTCAATTAGCTCTTAATCAATGCTGTGCACGGTACGATGACGTGATCAAACAATGCCATGTTGGACATGTTTACTAAACAGAGAAATTTTGTTGTTTAGAGCAGTCTTTTCCACTGAAAGGTATACCAGTAGTTATAAGTGAGATTATATCATCGTATCTGATGCTTGTTTCGATATCTTGGAATGTGGAACATTCTCTTTAAGTTGTCCTCCGTATTGGTTCATGACATGCGCGATAAGCCCCCTCCACCCCCGTAGCCTGTGTGTATACTTTACCTGCTTGATCCGTGTGGTAATGATTTGCCCAGAACGGCGTTGCTATGAAATGTAAGGAAAAGCTTGAGGCCGTCTGGCGCAGTAGATCGCAGTGGTTCGATTGTTGGCAGGTTCCCAGTGGCCCTGGAGTGTAATTAAGGAAAGGAGGGATATTCGATCCCTCCTTCACCTTTGAAGCTCCCGCTCGCCCGGCCATGATCTGTCTGATGATGTCTTTTTCTGACTCCGTGTGCTTGTTGCTTCCTGAGGTGTGCAGTGCCGTTTACCCCCATCTTTGACATTGTTTATGCCACTTCTCCATTTACGAATGCGCAACCGAGGTGTGGTTGGCAGATGTGTGCATTATTTCGGCATCTAGGCGGGAATGGCGGCACTGTACGTGATCTCAGCATGTAGGCGGGAGTGGCGGCACTGTACGTGATCTCAGCATCTAAGTGGGAGTGGCGGCACTGTACATGATCTCGGCATCTAGGCGGGAGTGGCGGCACTGTACGTGATCTCAGCACCAGGCGGGTGTGGCTGCACTGTACATGATCTCGCCATGTGGAACGGGATGTAGTGTGCGTGCGTGGAGTTTCTGATGACAAACGACTCCAAAGCAACGAAATTTCCCAAGCAAATCTAAAATGGGAGCCATTGGATGAAGGTAAAGCTGCACATGGAAATAATACGTTTTTAATGTCGTTTTTTTTACTAGGATTTCAAATAATTGGCAGTCATTTTGATCCAGCTTGGGATTTAGCTCTGAACCCGTACCTGCTACCACGAAGTTGATTGGTGTAGGCATAGTTGACTGCGAAGTGGGCAAGAATATATCAAAATGGTCTCTGGACGACTGTGGCTAGTTTTACAAGGCCTGATATCCTGTGTATATAGAACGAGTGTGATAAGAAAAATTTCATTTGATCACGAAGAATGCACCGTGAAAGTTATCTCCAGGATGAATTCAACGTGTATTACCTGTGGCTAAAGCTATGCTGCTAATGCGCAGATTGCCTTGTAGCCTTGTGGTAAAATCAACCCGCTGATAAGATTGGCGCCGTTAAGATGCTCGTTTGCAAAATGTAAGCCAATGATCGCAGGTCCAACTACAAAGCTCTCTAGCTTAGCGGTGTCCCTTGATATTCTCATTAATGGCAGCATGCACCGTATTGAAGACATTTCACTGTGATGTGACCAGGCGAACTACGAAAAGAGAACCAAATGACAAGATACGCAAAATTATGTTAGTGAAAGGCCTGGAAGGCCATGTGTTGAACGTCGGTGCCCACTGTTTGGCTGAGTTAGAGTTCCATTGGGTACGCGATCGCTATGAGTCGGAACACATACGAGAAGGCGTCTGTCCCGTGGGGAAAAGTCTGATTGAGGTACGCCGTCACAACGAAACTGGCATGTCATGTGCGTGTGCCTGGGCTGCCCCGCGCAATGAGCAGTCGATCAACGGTGATAGCACGTGCCAACAATCGTCATCATCCTCCAACTTCGCTCCACTGATGCGTTCTGGGCGCTGCTGACGGTTACCGTGCACAACGTAGTTCAGAAGCCAGGAAAAAACGAATGAAAACTCCTGTTAAGGAGCACGGGACGCGTGAGGGATAGTACATAGCACACGTGCATATGAACACCCGCCGTGTAGCTTATTGAAGTCATGCAGATGCGGCATTACTGAAGCTATGATTATGATCGCAGAGGTCGCGTCGAATTTGCTCATACATGTGTGTTTGCCTGTCTGTCAAGTCCTGCCGGTATGTTTTTTTTTTCAAATCGTCTGTCATGCTTTATGAAAGCTTCTGAGAAACGGCTAGGCAACGGATCTTGCGCCGTGGGTATGGATGAGTCAGACGACACGCTGTCGAGATTTCTAATAAACCAGTTGGATTTGAGGAAAAAGCGTTCGTTCTGGTAGTGGGACATTGCATCATCACTGGCCCTGGCGCCTTGGCACAGAAATCCCCCCCCCCCCCCCCCACCACAAATCTGATCTCACTGTAACTAGTCGTGCCGTTGGAACACAGGTGGATAGACGCGCGCGAGGTCGGCGTATGAAGTGGGAGGCGGGCGAGATGGGCCAGTAGATAACATGATTGTGGATGCCCGTCGGATCAGAGTTGACCATCCAAGGCCGGACAGCTCTGCAGCCGGCCGGGCTAGCTCGGCACGCTCTGTGCGAGGTTCGCCCGGACACAGCACGGACTGCTCTGCAGCCGGCCGGACTCGCTCGGCACGCTCTGTGCAAGGTTCGCCCGGACGCAGCACATCGCGCGCGCTGGCGGCGTTCGCCGGGCCGATGGGAAGTCCAGCGCGGCTTCTCTTCGGCCAACTGCCAGAGGCGTGGGCTCCACGGAACTGCTGGCTGTGCCTGGCGCACGTATTTTCCCACATGGCGAGGACAGAGGCCCACCTATCTTGTCTTTCGGTGCGCACCTGCACGGAACTCCACCTTATGCCCGCTGCCGTTCTGTTTCAGAACTGGTAGCCAGAGCGCCGACAGTTGTTAGAGCAAACTCAGGTGACAAGTCGAAAATCAATACGAAGGTGAGTGAATGAATGAGCGAGAGGGCGGGCGGCCTGGCCGGGCCGGGCCGGGCCGGGCCGGGCCGGGCCGGGCCGAACCGAACCGAACCGAACCGAACCGAACCGAACCGAACCGAACCGAACCGAACCGAACCGAACCGAACCGAACCGAACCGAACCGAACCGAACCGAACCGAACCGAACCGAACCGGACCGGACCGGGCCGGGCCGGGCCGGGCCCGTCATCTGTGGCGGAGCGGGGGCACCTGTGTGACGCGGAGCGACCGCCCCGAGCGGTGCCAGCTGTCTGCCGGCGGCCGGAGCGCGCGCGTGTGCCCTGATGGCCGCCTCCGCTCGGCTTGCGTCGGTGCCGGCCTGGTGCCCGCTGACCGACGCTCTGGCGCGCCCTCAGGCGTCCGACTTCAGTGACTTGGGAGACTGGCCCACGCTCGAGAGGACGGCCAGTGCGCCGGGCACGCCGCGCCCCGCCGGCCCCGTCTCCGGCTCAGGACCCAGCTCCGGCCACGGCAACGGCAATGGCAACCTCACCAACGGCACGGCGCCCTCCTCGCAGGACGACGACTCGTCCAAGGAGAACTACGACGAGAACCGACAGAGCGCGACCGCCAGCGACAGCAGCAAACGGAAACGCAGCAGTGAGTGGGCCGGCGCGCTGACCCCAAGTGGGTCTGCTGGTCGGGAACTGTGTCGTGCCAATGTGACGTGAGGCGCGCTGACCCCAAGTGGGTCTGCTGGTCGGGAACTGTGTCGTGCCAATGTGACGTGAGGCGCGCTGACCCCAAGTGGGTCTGCTGGTCGGGAACTGTGTCGTGCCAATGTGACGTGAGGCGCGCTGACCCCAAGTGGGTCTGCTGGTCGGGAACTGTGTCGTGCCAATGTGACGTGAGGCGCGCTGACCCCAAGTGGGTCTGCTGGTCGGGAACTGT